AGTGAACATTATTTTGATTGGATCAATAACTTGAGCTGTTGTTTTAAATTAAATTAGGATCATTGTTCGTGTAGTTTAAGTATAATGATCTACACCATCTCTAACTATTATTTTAATACTCCATCCGTCCCTTTATTTTGTCCCTTTGTCATTTTTGGGGTCAAACTTTGAAAATATTGACCATAAATTACCACTAATCTATAAAACAGTAAAACTTAATTTTGTCACGAGACTCATGAGTCATGACTCATGACTTCATGAGTGATCTTTTTAAATTTGTATCATTATATATTTTATTAATATAACATTTTTATAATTTTTACTTGTATGAAAATAAAGATATACTACGTAGATGTTTTAATACGCGTCTTGGAGACTGATCCCGATCAAATGAATACACAACACACAAAACATCATCTAATCAGTCTCAACCATAGATCAAAAACAATCTACGGTTAATTTTGTTCTCCCACAACACACACGGATCACCACTCTCAACCATAGATTAAAAACAATCTACGGTTAGCTTTTTTCCCCACAACACACACGGAAAACCATTCTCAACCATAGATTAAAAAATCAATGGTTAGATTTACATCTCAACCATTTTGATACCCTAATTCCACTTTCACTTTCACGCCTCCTAGTTCTTTCTCTCTCTCATCTCCTCTCAGATCTCACTCATTCATTCACGGCGCCTCTTCGTTTGTCGTCTCTCTCATTCATTTTCAATTCTCCCTAATTCATTCACGGCGCCTTTCGTTCGTTGTTGCTGCTCATCGGTGTTGTTGCTGCTCTAATCCTCGCTTATCAGTGTTGTTGCTGCTCTAAACCTCTTTTTTTTTGTCCAGGTATGATATCTCTCTTCCTCGTACTTCTTGCAACTGATTTAATCTGATTTATGAAGTAGAATAATTAAAGTTGTAGTTGATTTAATGAGTATATAATTGTATAATTGTAATTTAGTGGTTTATTGTATAACTCTGATTAGTGGTCTATCTTAAGTTAGTTAGTATTTGACGGTTGTATTTCTTGACTGCTTTGCATTATTGTTTGCATATCAATCAAAATGAATCAAGATTAAAGAATTGAACAGGAAAGAGTGAAAGACCAATAATCAAATTTGACATTAAAATTTAGGTTTTCTAAGCTACCACACTATATAACATAGTTGTTCACTACGTTTTGCATTATTATAGTTATAATTCCCCTTAATGAGTATATAATTGTATAATTGTAAGTTAGTGGTAATAGTATATAATATGGGTTCATCTTATTTAATTTTCTAGTAGTTAAAAATTAATGGGTTGCTACTGAAATTTGATTATATGAGTTTATTAGCGTTTATAGAAAAATAATATGGGATTAATGACTTTTCACTCTCTATTCTATTTGTTGGTTTCACTATTAAGTGTACATCTCAATGTAATGGGTTTTCGACTCTTAACTAGAGTGTAAAAAGTACCTAAATGTGTTAGCATTGATAGGGACAATTATTTGTTATAAGGCTGAAATGTGTTGTTTTGATCCTGTTTTTTCAGCAATGGATCAAGGGTATGAAAATTATGATGAGGACAGACAAGATTATTTAGAAACTTCAGATTCTCAAAACACTATTCAGAATCAAGATTCTTCTCAGCAACAAGTCACTACCACTAGTGGTAGTAAGCGTGGACGAACATCAGATGTGTGGAGGCATTACACCTTTTTTGATAAGATTGTTGGTCTTGCTCCGATAAGATATGCGCGATGCAATGTTTGCGGTAATGAATATAAAGCACCAGGTAAGGCTGGTACTTCCACTTGTAAAGCTCATACTAAGGCATGCATGGGTAAAAATATACATCATCCTGCAAATCTTGAAAGTGTTGTTGATCCTACGTTTAATCAAACTCGTCATTTACAATTGCTTGCTAGAGCTATAATTTTGCATTCCTATCCTTTAAATATTGTGGAGCATCATGGCCTTAGGGAAGTTTTTACGAATCTAAATCCTAATGTGAAGCATGTGTGTAGAAACACTATGTTGAAATATTGTATTGCTGAGCATGATAAGTTTAAGTCCTTGTTGTTGCAATCTTTTTCTGGAATTGAAGGTAGAGTTAGCTTCACTTGTGACTTGTGGACAGCATGCACTAATCGAGGTTATCTCACTTTAACTGCACATTATGTTGATAAAAATTGGTGTCTAAGGTCTAAAATTCTGAATTTTAGATATTGTGGTCCTCCTCATACTGGTGTTGAGATAGAAAAATTTGTGTTTAAACTTATTGGGGAGTGGAACCTTCAGGGTAAAGCTTTTGCAATTACTGTTGATAATGCTCGATCTATGGATGTTATGGTTAAACTTTTGAAGAAAGATTTAATGTTGACTTCTCCTCTTCCTTGTAATGGTAAATTTTTTCATATTCGATGTTCAACTCATGTCTTGAACATTATTGTTCAAAGAGGTTTGAAAGAAGTTGATAGTAGTGTTCAAAAATTGCGTGAGGTTTGTAAATATATTGATTCTTCGGACTCTAGACTTACTCAATTTGAGCATGCTCTTTCTGAGGTTAACTGTCTATTTAACGGTAAGTTACGTCTTGATGTTGTGACTCGTTGGAATGCCACCTATACGATGCTCCGAAAAGCTTTAGAAGCAAAGGAAGCCTTGAAAGTGGTTATCGATAAGTATATGGGTTATGAATTCAAACTTTCGGATGATGAATGGGATACCCTTGCAAAAATATGTCATTTCCTAAAGCCATTTTATGAAATCACTATGTTATTTTCTGGTTCTGAATATCCTACCGCAAATTTGTATTTTGCTAGTGTTTTGAAAATTGAGCACACAATAACTAAAGCCCATATAGACCCTAAACTTGCACCCATGGCAAAAGTTATGCTTGAAAAGTTTGAGGGCTATTGGGATGACTATAGTTTGATCCTTTCAATAGCTATTGTTCTTGATCCTCGCTATAAGCTATTTCGATTGACGAATATGTTGAAAGTGCTTTATGTTGAGGAGGCATTGTTGAAAAGGCGAAGGTGATTAAAGATGCTCTTTTGGAGTTGTATAACTTTTATTCTTCTATGTGTTCCGGTTTTAAGTCAAGTACAATTGTTTCCCCCTCCATCCCTATTGGGGTTGATAAATCAAATAGTCTCTTGGATGATGATGATATATTCAAGGTAATTATTTTCTGTTTATTGTGGTTTACTAAAATAATAATTATATGTCTTAATTTTTATTATTTAATAAAAGCATATTTTTTGCACTTTTCTAGGATGTTGATGTTGATGATAGCCTAAATCGACCATCGATGGAGATTGATAATTATTTGAATACTCCTCGTCAACCATCAATTGAAGGGCAGAATTATGATGTTCTCAAGTATTGGGAATCTCAAATTAATGTGTACCCCATATTAGCTATTATGGCTAGGGATGTTTTGGCCATTCCTATTACATCGGTAGCCTCTGAGTCTTCTTTTAGCATGGGTGGTCGTATTTTAAACAAGTATAGGAGTGCACTTTTGCCTAAGAATGTTGAGGCGTTGGTTACCACACAAAATTGGTTACGTGGTTATGATTGTGATATTGAAGAAGACGTCCTTGAAATTGGTAAAGAGGTGATAGATGAAAGTTTTGCATCTAATTAGAAAGGTATGGATGTTGCTATTTTACTGATGCTTAATTTATATTGTGTTGCTTAATTCAGGCTTTCTTGTTTTTTTTTTTTTTTTTTTTTTTTTTTTTTGTGAGAAAAGTGTAGCTTCATTTCTTACACTAATGATAAGTATAGGGTGCTGCTACTGCTGACTGCTTCTTCTCCTTACTGCTGTTCTGCTGACTTGCTGTGCTGCTGACTTGCTGTTCTGCTGTTGTTCTTCCATTCTGCTGCTGCTCTTCTTCCATTTTGATGTTCTGCTGCTCTTCTTCCATCGATGCAGTTCTGCCATTCTGCTGCTGCTGTCTGCAGTGCTGCTGATCTGCCATTCTGCTGTAGACTGTGGTGCTGGTGTTAATCTTGTTATGCTAAAAACTTGTACAATTCTGTTGTTAAAACTTGTTTGTATGGATTGGTTGGTTTGATTTTGTTACTTTGTTGTTAAAAATTGTTTAATTATGTGTATGGATTAGATTAGTTTGTTTTGGTTTTGAAAAGTTGAAACTTGTTGAATTAGAAGTTTTATAACTTGTTAATGCTATTAATCCTATTATGCTACTGGAATACTGCTATGTTGATGAATAAGGCCCAAAAGGCCAAAAAATTGTAGGTTATTGCCCAAAAAACCAAAATTGCAGATTATTCCCCAAAAACCAAATTAAAGTCAATACTCACGGATTAGCTAACGAAGTGCTATTTCTAAGGGAATTTAGTATTAACTAAGTTACTAAGATATATACAATTAATATGATAAGTATATGGTCTCAAGAAAAATTGATAAGTATGGAATATATGCTAAATATATTCTAAGATTTCTAATACTTAATCCAAATAATTACATAAAAAAGTGCACCAAAAAAAATTTTATTATTACATACAAAAAAAGCTTGTAAACGGTTCGATTTATAAGCGGTTTGGTTCATAAACGGTTCGGTTTATAAGCAGTTCGGTTCATAAATGGTTCGGTTTATAAGTAGTTCGGTACAATCAGTTCGGTTTTTAAATGGTTCGGTGCAAACGAGTAGCAGTTTGCTAACAGTTCGGTGTAAGCGGTTTTTATGCCAGTTTAAATGGTTTCGGGTTAGAAACGGTTCGGTTCATTTTCGGTTCGGTTTCCTTTTCAGTTCGGTTTAGATTTGGTTCGGTTCTTAATCGGTTTAACGTTTTCTCGGATCGGTTCGGTTTTGGTTTTACTAACATGCGGTTCAGGTTGGTTTTCGGTTTCAAAAAAAATCGGTTTTCAATCGGTTCGGTTCTCATTCGGATCGGTTGAAACAGTTCGATTTCACCGGTTCGGTTCGGTTTTTGACAGTGCTAATATTCCTCATGAATCAGAATATAAGTTATCTTTCTTAAAGGAAGTTGCTTGGAAAGTACTTTGCACCATTTATACGCGCAATTGCTTACATTGTTATACCCTTTTTTGTGAAAGCATCGGAATATACTCCTGGATTTTACGTTGATTCAACAACTTCAGTTTTTTCTTCTTCTTTAAGCTCTGTCAAACCTGCGGTAATTGTTATAATTATTTAATTTCTTCAATTTCAGATTTCTGTTTTATTCCCATCATACTTTTTTTTTTTTAATTTAAATTATTCGTGATTAAGTGATTATAGTATTTACTTCATTTTATTTGGGTGAAATTATTAATATCGGAACAATTATTAAATCAATCATCCAAATGCAATTGTATTTGATCACTTTATGTTGCTGTTGTTATGATAGCAGTTTTTACTGTTTAAGCTTCATCTAATTCATCCAATTTTATGTTATTTTTTCAATCATTGTTTGCATTAAGCTTTAATTATTGTTTAATCTCATGTAAAGTGTTGAATTATATATATATAATGATTGAAAAGTAAGGATTATCTAATTCATCCAATTTTATTTTATTTTTTCAATCATTTTTTGCATTAAGCTTTAATTATTGTTTAATCTCATGTAAGGTGTTGAATTATATATATAATGATTGAAAAGTAAGGATTGGTTTTGTTGAAATCGGAATTAGAGTTTGATATTATGTAATTTGAGGAAAGATGGAATCTTTACGGGTTGAATTGTATACAGGAAAGTGTTAGCAATGGAGGTCGGTGCTATATTTATGGGAATTTTTGGGGTTTTAAGTTATTTAAGTGGGGTAGCCAGTCTTGATGAGAGGAAAAGAATCCTCTTGAATAAGACTGACTACTTGGTTGCTAGGATGCAGGACATTAAGAGAGAAATTTCTTATATTCAAGGCAAGAAGCGAAAGCGAGATCATGCCATCTGGGATTGGATGGCCGACGGTGAGAAACTCGTGGAGAAAGCGCGATGCGTATTAAGGGAAGTAGGAAAATGGCGGGGCTTCCTTGTGGGTGATGCAAGGATGAGATGGAATGTTAGCAAATTGATTGATGATATGAGAGATCATGACAAAATTGGTGTTGTGCTCCTTAATCAGGCCTTGTCTGATGCTCGAGGTCTATGTCATGGCTTACATTTACCGGTTAAACAAGTAGTTGGCCAAGAAGCTTCTGAGACTTTGGACCAGCTTAAGCTTCTGTTGGAAGGGGACAAGGCTGGAAGGATTGCTATTCATGGCGAAAAAGGAATTGGTAAAACCTTTTTGATGAAGCACCTGCATAACTATGCGTTAGGCAGGTTTGATTATGTTTTTTGGGTCTCTTCCCCTGATAAGTTCACTGTCAAGTGTGTGCAAGATGCTGTTGCCGCAGTTGTTAAATGTGATCTTTCAAGTGATGATTTAAATGTAAGGGCTGCAATGTTGAGACATAAACTTGCGGGTCTTGGCAGCTTTGCAATTTTCTTAGATGGTGTTGCTGATGTACATGAATCTGATATTTCTATGGACCTCATAGGAATTATAGTTCCTGCAGCAGGCAGCAAATGCAAGGTGGTATTAAGTACCTCGACCTTGCGATGGAGAATGTTTAAACGCTTTGCGGCAGTCAAAGTTGAGCGCCTTTCAGAAGATGCAGCATGGCAATTGTTCAAGCTCGAAACTGGAATTGGCAAGGATTTTGTGTCTTCCCTTGTTGACATGCCTAGGTTACTTGTGAAAACATGTTGCGGATTGCCACATAAGATTGTAAACTTAGCTACTTACATGTGTGGCAAAGTTGACCCCCGTGAATGGAGGTATGAACTATCTCAATCAGGATGTCATGAGTTGGAGAACAAATTTCCAATAATTCCTGAACTTGAGCGAGAGAATAAAAGGCTAAAGAAGGACATCATTCATTCTCCAATGTCTCTTGGTTGGGTGGAGTCGGCAGGTAACTGAGAAGTTCTTTTGTGTCAGAAAGCAGGAGCATAAAATTAACTGAATCACTGTGATTCTGTAGGTCTTCAGATGTCTGTTCTTCAAGAGGCATGTTTGATAATACTGTGAACTAGCTGCTCAAGGAGCTCGGCATCAAGAGAACAATTAGATGTATCTGTTGAGTCTTTTTTTATATAGCCAATGATGCTATCTTGGTAAGCTATACACCTAAACTCACCCTCAGGCTCACATTAGGAAACAAGGAGTAAAACTTCTGACAGGGAAGGCATTCATAGAAGTATACTGATTCCTCTGGCGTTTACCCAACTTCTTTTTGAATAACTATGCTTTTGCCATTTAATTATATAACATGATTATAGTAGAATTTTTAAGCTGTGATTGCAACTGGTCCATCATGTGTCTTATCTCTTCGTGACTATCTTATGTTTTAATCTTTGTTTTGTTTTGTTTCCTCTTTGCATAACTTGTCCTGACAACATCTGGTGACGAATCATCCAAATTACTAGTATATTTTGTGGGCTGCGGCTCCTCACAGCCCATGTCATGCCATCCAAGTTGCTGCTGATGCGAATGTAGATGCATCTTACTAGTTCTCCATCCTATTATGGAATCACCTTCATATTTATGCTGCAGGGATTCAACTGATAGGAGAAGATTTTAGCCTAACAGCTTCTGGCAGGCAGAGAATGGCTTCAGTGACTCACATTTTGATTTTACGAGGATGATTCTGTTTTTTCATCCCTTGCCAGCAGCCAACATTTTCTCCATGTAGTAAGAGAAAGGGAGATCAGATCTTATTATTTTTTATGGCAATGTTCTGTATATCTGCTGCTTTATACTTATATTTTGTGAATCAATTTTCCCCTAAACAATGTATTTGTTTCCTGCTTTGGAAGTTGCAATGCAAGATTTGAAATGATGGTCAATACTGATGCAAGGGCAAAGAGTGCAATTGTGCAAATATATTCAGAATGGATAAAAATGAGTAAACCCTGTGCTGGGTTTTAAAGTTTGGCCCAACCTTGTGGGTTTGACTGTTTTCATTGTTCTTTTCCATGGCTTTCTCGCGTCTTGCCTGTTATAGTCCTTCAATCTTCAAATCGAATTCTAAGTTAATTGAATTCAATTCTCACTTCTCCAGTTCTCCCTCACAAGTCAATTCAGCCAGGGTTCTTGTGATAGAAACTTTGGGAGTGGGATAAGGGTAATGGAATCCCTTCTCCTAAGTGCCTGCATTCTAGATTGAACCCTCAAACTTGAGTTTGGAAGGTGTTCTCCTTTCTACAAGGTCAGGCTTAGCTTGGTACGAATTATATAAACATAGGTATATATTGCATTTATTTTATTTTATTTTTTATTATTATTTTTTTTTTCTTATCACATACTACGTAATATACAACACAAAATTTTGATAACTCAAATCACAGCCTTAGTTACTGCAGACAGCTCCTATTTTGCACCACTCTCCTGAATCCTGATTTTGTAAGCCAGTGACTTCAAGCAACAACTAAATCTGACAGAGTTAATACATTACACCAGATAACTCAAGCTCCTAATCTAAACATTCGAGCCACAAATATTTGTTTTCTCCAATTTGTATTTTCTGATGTCAGGAGTTCATCAATGAGATGTAGCTCCTTCTTAAAGTTCCTAACTTCAAATTGCTACTAGTTCTAAAAGTTCAATAATGGGATGTAGCATCTGCTACTAATTCTTGCTATAGCTTCTGCTAGACCCCTTGACGCTCCTTTACAACTACCTTACTCTCACTCCCTTCTGCAGGACGGGGATTCCTATCTCAATCAGAGAAAATTGGGCTACAGGTACATCATTTAGGAAAATCACAAAACTCCCAGACCTGCAAGCTTAATCAAGTGCGGAGTACGACCATGTTTCACATCTAACAAATTCATGGTAAACGGCCGAAAATAAAATAAACTTGGGTCTTGTATTGAAACTGTTGAAGGAAACTCATAATTGTTCAAATCTATATAAACTGTAATAGTAGAAACACAAAATTCGTCTTTGAAAAAAAAAAAAAAACACACACACACTAAATTGTAATAACTAAACTCATAATTGTTCGACTAGCTAGGGAAAATACCATGCATGAATAACCAAGCTGCTAAACTCCCTGCAAATTGCAATCTCAGCTCTGAACAAGCTAAGAAACAGTATCTGCCATTTTTCTGATCCACTTATTCATAGTCACTGTTTGTTTGTCTGGTGCAACTTGAATTAAGCACATTCTTTCAAGTCGATTCAATATCACATGACCCTGATCATCTACATACATTTCTTCTCTGTCTTTGCCAATTAGCCCGCAATTTTTCCACTTATCAATGATTATGCGTTTGGCAACTTGACAATCATTAGGTAACAATTTTGCTGCTGCCAGAAAGCAGCGCTGGACAGTACTATCTTTTAAGCAATAGTACCCAAATTTGAGCTGCTCCAATATAATGTCCTCTTCCTTGTTGATGCTGGAAATGGTGCCTACCATCTCATTCAATCGGTTGTTCCATTCTCGATGATCTTCAATCCCTGACATAGACCGGGCTATGATGATGATGGCCAGTGGCATTCTTGCACACTCTTTTGCGACTTGGATTGCTACTTTTTTGGTCCTTTCCTGATCTCGTCTTGAGAACAATTGATCATTATCAAGTTTCACTTCATGTAGGAACAGATCCTTTGCTTCTTCTTCCTCCAACAGCTCCAACTTGATGGTGTGGTCACACTTCATCCTGTTGCATACGTCTTTGGACAGTGTACTAAACACCAGGATGCAGTTCACACCAGTACTTTCTGGGGTCATTTGAGACGGTATTCCAAGCAATTCATAAGCTGGAAAGTCCTCCTTCACATTGTCAAGGAAGAAAACTGCACGACCCTGGCCTATCTCCTGGAGTCTCGCCATTATCCTGCCTGCACATCTCACCTCATCGTGTGCATCATTGTTGTCCAAATCAACAAACATCCCATCAGCCACGCAATTCTGCAAGGCCTTGTTGTAGTTCCTTTGATCAGGCTCTATATCTGGTGCCTTGGCCCAAAATACAGCCTCGAATTCCTGTACATCTTCAAAGGCTTTGTTGTACAGGTGCTTCATGAGATTGGTCTTTCCGGCTCCTCTGTGGCCATAGATACCAATGCATTGAGCACGACCTCCTGTCATGGCTTGATAAGCTGAATCCCTTATCCCAGACAACGTCGTGCCAATGTACTGATCCTCCACCATGGGTAACTTCTCTCCACGCTTTCTAATCCCGTTGTTTGTTAAGCCTTGCCCTTGCAACTGGTTACCCTTATCCAAAAGCTCCTGTCCTTCCCTTAGGTGTCGCTCAATGCTCAGCACCCACATCATACGCTTCAGCAACCACGACTCATCCTGGAGACTGTTTAACACTGATTGTGCTGAACCTATGTACCCTTCTGCTTGCCTAAAGTAGGCAACCACAACATTCTTACGCTTCTTTCTAGGGTCTGCCTCCTCATTCTTTACCATTCGCTTCATGTCATCGACAGTGTTCTGTAGGTCCTGCCGCACACCATCCAGGTCATTGCGTATGATGTCCACCTGCACAAGTCGTTTCCCTAACTGACAAATTTTCGGCACTACCTCAAGTATCGCATCCATCATTTCTATACCCACAGCAGCCTGTGTGACCTGGTAAGATCCTATATGTTATTCCCATGGTGATCCATCTGAAGCCTACACGCCAGCCTATCATGCAGCATACACAGTTGCCTCTGAAACAAGAGAAAACTCTGCTCAGATCAAATATGTCCTCCCAACTAGGGGTACTATACATTTACACTAATCAAAAAATTATAAACCAAAGAGATCAAACAGCACAACTCTAGGAAACAATTTCGACCTTTTATGTGATCTAGAGGCTAGCATAGGAACTGGTTACTTCTATGTTTATCTAAATCTTGTTTAGAATATACTAAGGGTCTGTTCTAGTTTGCTGAACTGAATTGTTTATAAAAAAAAGGGAAATTAGGAACTGAACTGAAGTGAAATTAAGCTGAAGAGAACATGCCTTAGCTTTTAGATAGCACCTAAATTAGTGTCTGTTCTCATACGTTGAAATTCAGTTCAGCTCCTAATTTCCTTCTCTTATAAAATATTCATTTCAGTTCAGTTCAATTCAGCTCCTAATTTCCTTCTCTTATAAAATATTCATTTCAGTTCAGTTCAGTTCAATTCAGCTCCTAATTTCCTTCTCTTATAAAATTTCATTTCAGTTCAGTTTAGTTCAGCTCAATTCAGCTCATTTCAGTTTAGTTTAGTTCAGCCAATGAGAACATACCCTTAATGTAACCGAGCAATATGTAAATATATACTCCCTCCATGTTTTTTTAAATGATACATATTGACCGACACATAGTTTTAGGCAATTTAATCGACTTAAATAAAATAAGAGGTAAGTGGGGTAGTGGAGTATTAAAAAATTGTTAAAGAAAGATAGTGGGGTTAATAGTTTATTGAAAACTAATGAATGTGAGAGGAAAGATATAATAAAAAAGTAGTAGTGGGTTTGGATGGGGCCATGAGAGGAGAGAGATACAATATTTTAAGACAAACTTTTAAATAAAACGGATGTTCAGTAAATTAGTGAACATTCGTTATAAAGTGACAATAAAATGCACAAAAGTTACACTAAAACGCACAAAAGTTACCCTGACACATATAAGAGTTATTTATGCTTTATTGATAATTTTGACAAAAGTGACACTAAATCTGACAGAAGTGTACTCGATGTAAAGTAAATTACTGAAAACCGGGTGTACATAAAAGTTTTCCATATTTTAATGTATTGAAATGTATCACTTAAAAAAACACGACCAAAAATGAAAAATGTATCACTTAAAAAAACACGAAGGGAGTAAGTTTTTCTCTATCCTTTTTTTTTCTACATCTCTATACTTTGTTTCAAAGCTTTTCACTCACTTTACAAACAAAATAAATAAATAAATAAATAAATAAATCAAATATTATTGTTAGTCTTAAATATCTCAGTGTCTATGCCAATTGTGGAGATAATTCAAGGGCGGTAGGGCCGTAGGGTCATATAACTCCATAAATCAAGTAGTCTTCTTTTTTTTGTTTTTTTTTGATGGGTAGATCGAGTAATCATATAATTGTATTGGTGTTGACCAATTGACCATATTTTTATTATTTTATTGTTTGCTCCTCCGTATTTTGTTATGATTTTTTTTTAGGGGGTAAGAGGTGGGCCCCACCTTAATTTCCTATCACAGGAATATCAAAGGAGTATTACCCACAGGGGAGGGGGTATATAAGCCTCGAACCCGGGTCACTACCACGGGAAGTGAAGCTTAGCTCCACTGAGCTAAAGGCTTCTTGCTCATTCCGTATTTTATTATGATGCAATGAATACACCCCCATATTTTGTTACTCCGTATTTGCTCCATTTTTCTTGTACGGACTTCTTTATTATTATTTTTTCTTTTTAAATTTCTTTTTAGGAAATTTTTTAACAACTCCTTCATACTCACTCTTGAGTCTTGACCTCTTGTTACTACTCCGTACTATTTAACACTTTTTTTTATTATTCAACCAACCCATTGCCATATTATTTTATTATTTTTCACCACCTCCTAAAATTCTACACATGAACAAATGGAGCAAAAAATAAAATATAGAAGAATTATTTATTTTCTATTTTTTTTTGTCCTAATTATATCCATACATTACTGTTGCTGATATTATCTACATTATTTAATAATTATATATAACACATTACAATGATTTAAACAACTATTTCTATAGCTATGTTTGATCTTTTGCATAAAACAAAAACAATCATATGTCATTCCAAGGTTATATACCCTTCTCTTATTACAACAACATTCACACTCTTACTATTTCATTTGTTTATTTATTTTGACAGAAAATTTAACTTACATACATAGTATTTAAAAAATATACTTCATCTGTTACGAATTACTCGCAATAAAGGGGTATTATTTGTGAGATATAAAATATTTCTTTATTGCGAGTAATATGTAACGGGGGGAGTATATGGGTGAAGCAGGAATGAGCTAACTCCGGGCACTTCATTCTCAAGCATGCCATGTCATATGCATAAAAAGACGATAATTTATTGCACATCATCACTCATAAAGCAAGAAAAAAGATAACTAACATCTAGACATAGAAATCAAGAAATGAACAAAAATAAATTAACAAAACTTACAAAAGGAACTTCTTATTCAATGGTCAATTATGAAATTAGGAAGGAAAATTAGGAGTGAAAGAGAAAACTAATGATGGACGAGAGCAGGGAAAGGTAAGGGATGTAAAAAGTAGGGAGAAAATTATGGCATACATTCCTTTTAAGGCTATGCTTAAATGGGGTTATAAAAGTCAAAAAAAGGAAGGAAAAAAAAAACATTAGCAATTAGAGGTATTGTATGGAGATAAGGTGTTTATAAATGAAATAAGGTTGTGTGACGTGATGGAAAAAAAGAGAAATGGAGGAATCATATTCATTACCCTCATAAGTTACATTCTCCACCCCTCCCCCTTGTGTTCCAAAATTAGAGCAATGGTTCCCTTTAATCACCTACACTATTACATAAACTTTTCATGTTGGTTTAGTTTGATTCGTGCTACCTATTACTCCGGTTCTTAAGTACTTGCTCCACTTTTTCTTTTTTTTTTTTTTTAATACTTGTTTTATTTTCTTATTTAGAAATCTTTTACAATATTTAATTTATTTATCTCACCTAAAGGATCCAACATAAATAATTTTTTTATTAATTTCATATTCTCTTCACTACTTTTGATTTTTTTTTCCCCTCTACTCCACTACCTTCATATTTTATTATTTCTTCAATTTCTCCTAAAACTCCGCGTATAGAGAAATGGAGCAACTATTTAAAAACGAAAGGAATAGTATATTACTCTCAAATTTCTACCCACATTTAGGAAAATTGTTTTTCACTCCTTTATTTGGGAAAATGAAAAGAAAAAAAATATATAGAAAATGTTTTTTGTCAAAATAAATGAAACCAAAAGTGGAAAAGTTAGGAAGTATTTTATAAAATGAAGAAAGTATATTCATCTATATGTAAATAAATAAATAAAATATATATGAAGAAATTTTTTGTAAAAAAAAAAAAGAAAAAGAAAAATATACACTAAGCACACAATTAAGTAAGGGTTTGTTCTCATTGACTAAACTCAGTTAAACTGAACTGAACTGAGCTGAACTGAACTGAAATGAAAATTTTATAAGAGAAGGAAATTAGGAGCTGAGTTGAATTGAGCTGGCCTGAACTGAACTGAGCTCAGCTGAACTGAATTGAATTGAATTTCAACGTAAAAGAACAGACCCTAATACTAAAAGAGCCTCTTCCAAAAAAAAAAGTAAATGATGTTCCTATTTACGTAAATCATGTAAGTTTTTTACCCATCTTTAACCGCCAATATCTTTAATCTCACACTAGCAAAAATTATAAAAGCTAGATACTACCTCTGTTAATTTTTATGTGCAACTTTGGAGTATTATTTGTGAGATATAAAATATTTTAAAGTTGCGCATAAAAATTAACGGAGGTAGCATTAATAATGTATTTATCATGATGATCAAGCTAGATCTCACATGATCATTGTGGAACGGAGAGAGAGTACGTATAATATACATTTTTTTTAAAATAACCTAGTACAGAATATATATCGTGGAATGTATCAGTGGCGGATCCAGGAATCCGAACTAGGGGTAGCACTAGACAATAATAAAAAGAAAAAAGTATAGCATTGTTGTAACGTAACATAATTAATCAGCCAAACATGAATATAATGCGTTTTGTAGTCGTATAATAATTAACAATCAAATTCAAACATTTATATTGACAAGGTTTTTTTTTATTATTATTTTATTTTTTTACAAGTAATTCAATTATATTGTAGATGTCGATTATACTATTATAAACTTTCCACCTGTTTATTTTTTATTTTGTCAAAGTTGCATATGAACTTATACCAAAAAATTTGGTATAAATTTTTCCTTGTGCATATAGCACATATGCTAATGTAAAACTTTGACTAAAAATATATATCTTTAATAATTAAACTTATAACAATTGAATGTTATAGTAATAAATTTGACGATTCCAACAAGTAACCACATGTCTATATTTATTGTTATGTATAAATCAAAAATATTAGCTAAAGTGAATTAGATGAATTGTACAAAAAGTCAAAACGTTTCATTTATTTAAACATAGTTGGAATATGATTTTTTATATTTATTTCAGTGTAAATTTTCACACGATTATAAACAAGATTTAATAATGGCCAAACAAATGCAATAAATATTATGTAATGAAAATGAGAAGAATGAATAAAATATAACAAAAATGATGCTATAGGGTCTCGAACCCTAAACTTCTTGAAGACACATAATTCACCCACCCAACTCCCTTACCACTGAAGCAATGCTGGAAACACTTAATATCATTGCAGATTATAATATATATATACATATATAAAGGACGCTTTTCCAACATTTTTTTTTGGTGGGGGTAGCACGTGCCCCCCGGGCGTCAACGTGGATCCGCCACTGGAATGTATATCTATTTTGTGTTTAGATTAGCACAAGGACAAGTCATGAAAATCGATTTCAAAATCACTTGAAATCGAGAGGCACTAGACAATTATAAAATAGGATACACTAAAGATTAAATTATAAAATAGGATACACTTTCTTTAAAAATAAATTTTAAAATTGCATTATGATAGAGATTATGCATAAGAATAAAAGATATGTACTCACTATTGCCGCCGCCGCTTCCGTCTCAAGTGACAGCATATACGGGTGCTCCTGTATTTCCGGGTCCCGTGATTTACATATTTAGGGCCTAACAGAAAACGGATTTTGCAAGAAAAGCAGTGAACTTGATTGGGTTTAGTATATAATGACCTCTATATATATATATATATATATATATATATATATATATATATATATATATATATATATATATATATATATATATATATATATATATATATACTTCATATATTATATTCTTCTTCACATACCTAACATGGCGAAACTTACCAGATGAGAGATCTGGAAAATGTTTATGAATCTACCCTGCGCGGTTAAGGAAGGAACACCCAAATTTCATAGATTGCATTAGAGAAGACTTTTACTAAGTCTTTCTTTTGGAGTCTTCGGCGTCAACTCTCAATTATTATCAACTAGCATAGGTAATTCATTCATTTACTATTAAAGGACTTGGTTACTAATGGTCAATAAAAAAAAATAAAAAATTATAGGAACGTTATTTGAATAGTATTTTCTGTTATTTGAATTTCTTTTAATTTTTTATAATGTTATTTTATTAATTGAAAAATAATTGAATAATACTCCACATAGCTATATAAGAAGTGGACTAATTTATTTATATCTCCCGTTGAGAAAAAACTAAAATTTTCTTATCATACCATCCGCATCAGTAGCTACAATCAATCTAATATATACATGTTTTATTTACCCGCCGCACTCATTAAATCTATAGACACAATAATAACCTTATATTTGACCTACCAAAACATATATTTTCCTAAGTTAAGCATTGTGCCAAAAACTATATATTACTTCCTCCGCTCTTTATTACTTGACCCGCTTCGACTTTTACACTATTCACCACCCTTCCTTTGACCGTCTTTTGTGAATAATATGTAAGGAAAAATATATTCACGTATGATCTTTTTGGATTCGTCTCAATAAGTACTATCATAATAATTTACTTTTATAATTTTTACTTATGGAGAATTGAAGTTATTGATCGTTAAAGTTTTGCATTGGCAAACTTAATAAAAGAAACAGGTCATGTAAAAAAGAACAGAGGAGGTATATAATAGTCATATATATAACCAACAGCTGATTAAATATAGTATACAACACAAATACTTCGTATATAGGTATGGATACTGATAATTTTATATAAATAAAATATACGGAGTATATATTACTAAGATTTATCCCTACCTTAATTATAAAATGGTTAACAAAACTCTTATAATAGTGCATGGACATTTATATATCTAAAAATGTTCTTTTTACATATATTTTCCCCCATTTAATTTTAAAAGTCTTAAAATTGTCTCTTGAATTCGCTAAATTGATTTAAAAGGTTATGTTTATTTCAATATTTAAAGCCATTTACTATTCTCATTTCCTTTTGTTTTAATTTTTCTATTTAGAATTTATTAGACTATTAGGTTTCAAGATCGAAGTCAATATCTTTTTACCGTACAATCACTAAATCAAAGTCGCTGAACTAAAGTTTTGGACATTGCATAGCGCTACACAATATCCAACACATTTAATGATTACATGCAAATAATTTTAATAAAACTACGCATTCGATATAAGTTATTAAACAATTTAACTATATATACATTTTGATAGGTTTATATCTTTCATATTAACAAAAATTTACAAATGTTATTATTATATTTTGAAAAAAAAAATTAGACTTTGGAGTTTTGTATAAGATAGATGAAGGATAAGTTAATTCCCGTCATATATGCATTGAGTTTTGGGAAATCTATCCGGTTCACCCTTTGGGCTAATCCAGATTTGAGGATCTGTTATAGGCTATTAGGTTTCACTCCCCTTCCGATTATTGTTGCAGGGGAGCGAACACAGTTCCTCCCTACCAAGTGTAGTCTCAATCACCACTACGCCAACAACCAAACACTTGGTATGGAGGACATGTGTTATAAAATATTATATTATACACATATACTTTTTTATATTATAAAAAATATTATATTATATACACATACTATTATAGTTAAAAGTATTATTATGTATAAAACAACATAAATTATTGCACATGATTGTTGTATATCTAGTATAGTACATGAGCAATGCACGATTTTTAAATCAAAATGTTAGTTTTTCTAAAAAAAAATTCATAAGTAATAGTTACAATTTAAAACACGTGTAATAGTTATAATACATTTTATATCTATCATTTTTCCGTTAAATGTCTAATTCAGTTAACTTTATTCTTCTTGTTTAGATTGGTTATTGGTTCAGTTTTTTTTTTTTATTTTATTTTAATTAATGCAAGAAAAACAAAAGGTCATTGTAAAAGATATTGTATAGAAAATGAAAGGCCGATTAAAATTAAATTTTTGTTCAAGATTATGTATTTTTTTCCAAGACAACATTTCGGCTCAGCATTCAGTATTTGTCAAGGAGTACAACAAACGATAAAAGTAATTTTTACACTATTTTGTATCTTTATCAAAAACTTTTTTATTCAACCGATTACTTGAATTGAATTTAGGATAACTTGTAGACTATTTTGGGTAACTTTTATCAATAAAGCATACATAACTTTCATTCATTACGGAGTAACTTTTATAATAGGTGCACAATATTTTATTGTACATCTGATTTTTTTTTTTAATGTTTGTATTGATTTCAAATTGACGTCAAACTAAATTATATCGATTTTATTTAATTTTCATTAAAAAAAACAATGTTAGCCTTTCAAAATACGAAATATTTGTTTCCTTAATTATGCCACTTTAATCATATTGCTTCAAATTAGTTATTATTCTTTAACTTGACTATAAATAAAGATTGGAAAGAATTTATGGATTATTTGTAGTATTGGAAAGTATATATTTATTATAAAAAAATTAAATCAATATTTATGTTAGAAAATCATGAAAATCTTATATATGTATAGAAACTTGCTTTTATTGTTTGAAGTTTAACAAAAATAATTATGCTTGAACATGTAAACAGTAATTATATAGATATATTTTATACTAAAGATAAGCCTATGAGAGAGTGACATTTGTCATCCTCACATTGAGGCGCTTGTCTTTTAGTATAATATATAGATTCAACCTTTGATCTGGTCCATACGTTTAAATATAATATTCTTAACTAATTGGTTGTTAGTGCAATGGTGATTGAGGATATATTTGATAGGGAGGATCACGTGTTCAATCCCCCATAATAAGAATTGTAAGGGGAATGGAATCTATCCACTAACGGTGTGTTTTATTCACCTGATTTTCACCTATGTGAACTTATTAAAACTTATTTTAATTGTAATTTATATTTGTCACCCTTATCAAAACTTATTTTTTTCTAAATTAAATTTATTTGAACTATTTTTTCATGAACTGAACTTATTAAACTTAAAATAAGTAAAAATAAGGTGAATAGAACATACCTTAAGTGTTGAAACCTAAATCCAAATTAGCTCAAAAGGATAAATAGAGTGTGAACAACAAAAAAACATTTTCTTAAAAAACTATGTTTTTTTCAATAAAGACAAAAAATTTTAATCACAAAAACAGAATTACATTGAGGTTACTAAAACCCCTGGGCATTAACCAATCAAGATCATTAGCTTTACAAAAACTTTTGTATACATCCGGTTTACACTAATATTAGTGTACATCGAGCAGTATAAGGGTAACTTTTAGCTAATTTTAGGGTAACTTTTTGTCTTTTTTTGGGTAACTTTTAAACATAATACAATTTTTATATAAATCAACAACAAGAAAAGTTTTATAAAGGTAATTTAATTACATTCAATCACTAATAATTGATTTTTAGTCATTTAAAATGTGATTCTTTACTAATAAAGCGTAGATAATTTTTATTTTAATTGGGTTACTTTAACGCATATTGGGGTAACTTTTATTCATTTCAAGGGTAACTTTTAATCACTTTAGGTTATCTTTATAATGGATGTACAATAATTATTGTACACCCGATTTTTTTAAAAGTTTGTGTTAGCTTTAACATTTCTAGAACTAACATTACATATCTTATGGTAAACATCAAAGCAAACTCTATTTACATTTATATTAATAATTAATAAAATCTTTGCATTTTTGCTTCCCAAATGACTACACAAAAAGAAAAAAAGAAAAAAAATCATGTTATTAAAACTCATTCTCATTTTATTTGATTTTAATAAAGCTTGGTCTTATATGATCTATGTGATTGCAGTATTACACTAATTTATAGGGGAGAAAAAAATCATCATCGAATTGACTCTTATTAAATAATATTATATGATGTTTGGGTCCAATTTAGTCCAATTGGGCCTAAGCACTAAATGATCCAATTAAAAGCCCAAGGTCAAGGTTCAACTCTCCAATTGTGCTAAAGTCAAAGGTCAGCCCATAAAGCAAGCCAATTGGGCTAAGGCCCAACCTCTCCATGTATGATGAGGTATAAAAGCCATCATATTGATATATTCTGATTCATTCATAGATTCATATGTTCATTGATATATTCTGATATATTCCATAAAAGCCTCAAGCAACAAACTCTCTTGCATAGTGTCCTCTTCTTACACATTGTACTGACTTTAGCATCGGAGGGGCCTTCCTCGGCAGCACCCCCGAGGCTAGTTTACGTGTGTTTACTGTGCAGGAAACCTTGGGCCCAACATAACTTGGACCGAATCCAGCCTTCTCCATTTCAGCGGACCTTCGGCAAGGTCCCATTGTTTTCACCCGAAACAATTTGGCGCCGTCTGTGGGGAAGACTTTCAAAAATCTTTAAGCCAAATTCCTAACCAAGATCATCTGGCAATTATCTTAGCAGCAATGGCTAAGAACCGCAAGAGCAAAAGCCTCCGTCAAGGAGCGGGCCAAAAGCCTAAAACCCCTACACCATCGCCCTCGCCGGACCGGAACTCTCCCAAGGGTGCCGGCTCGGGGGAAGGATCATACAAGGAGGATTCCCTATCTCCCGTAATTCATGACTCTCATTATAGGCCGAGCCACTCTCGGTCTAGCAGGGGTGAGTCCGATCATAGGACATACTCAGTGTCCCAAAGCCAACCATCGGCTGCGCGCCCTCATTCCCGCACTCGGCCGAGGACCCCTTTGACGGGGCCCAACTCGGAAGAGGTGGAGCGCTGGCAGTACTCATGGAGGCGATGAGGGCACAAAATATGCCACCACCTCGTGATCGAACTCCTCCGCATACCCGGCATCAGCGGAGGAAGTTAGACCATGATGGTGGGAAACTTCCTTCCTTCCGGGAACTGGAAGAGTGGGAGGAGGATTCCTGGAAAAATGAAAAACAGAGGAAAAAGAGCCCTCAATTTTTAAAAGGATCCTCATCCTCAAGACCAGAAGCGCATAAGAGCAGCAGCTCAGCTTCTC